TATTTATTTAAATCTTATTTATTTAAATTAATGACTAAATTATTATTATTACTGATTATTAATTATTTAAACTTATACTTTATGTAACACTGTTAAGAATTATACACAAAACACTTAAAACTAAGACGGAAAAATATCGCACGCACGGGGGACCGAACCCTAGACCTCGAGGACGCAAGTCGAATACACATACCGCATAGCCACGCAAGCTCGGGAGTTATCTCGCATAAACTTCCTTTTGAATTGTGGGACCGATATATACAGTGCTTTAATAATAAATCCACTGCATATTATATTTATTTCAAGAAAAATTATTATACATATATCTTTATATACATTTTATCAAGTCATTATGTAGTAATTAATAGATACATCATAATAATATGTGACACGGTCAGTTAAAAGGGACCTACGGTCCGAAAAAATCGATTTTCATTTTTTTATTGATTCTTATAGTAAATAAGCCGCTCTTTCCAACGCATTCAGCCGCAGCTTTCTAGCTGCATTAGTTTTTTCACAATTTCACTTCAAAGTTAGATACTTTGACAAAAAAAAGTACAACAAAATCAAATTTGACAAATTTTACTAAAATTAATCAAATTCGCTTGAAACTCGTTACTCAGGGGTTTTCGGGGTCGCTGATTACGAATCCGATGTTAGTTTTTGAAAATTCAAAATGGCGGATCCAATATGGCGGATGACTTTTTTAAAAATTGATCGGATTTGCTTGAAAATCGTCACTCGGGGATTTTTGGGGTCGCTGATTACGAATTTGATGTTAGTTTTTAAAAATTAAAAATGGCGGATCCAATATGGCGGATGACTTTTTTAAAAATTGATCTGATTCGCTTGAAATTCGTTACTCGGGGGTTTTTGGGGTCGCTGATTACAAATATGATGTTATTTTTTAAAAATTTAAAATGACGGATCCAATATGGCGGATGAGTTATTTACAAATTATACGGATTTGTTTTTCAGAATTTTTAAATGTATGATTTTAATACAAATATATATATATATGGTCTTTTAAATGAGCAAACAGAATATTCATAACTTTATTATTTATTTTACAAATTTACTTTAATAAAGAACACAATAAATAAACGCGAGACAAAGAAAAACACGATAAAGAACTTAAGATTAAGAATTTAAAAGATTAAGAACTTAAAAAACTCACAAATTTATAATGATTAAAAACTTTGTTTTTTAAAATTAATTGTGCTTCTTACATATTTTTTTCGTCGATTTAACTTTTGTGTCTGATTTATCATTTTTCTTTTCTTTGGCACGGTAACCAAACTCTTTTCTTTATTTTTCTTTGGTAATGTAGTCGCTGTTTTACTTTTTTTAGTCTGCAACTTAACTAATTTTGTACTTTCCTTTTTTTGTTTGGTCATTTTGTTATTACTCTCCAATCCTATTTTATCGGGATTTTTATCTTTTGTCGTTTTGTGAGCCAACATTTCTTTTGGTTTTGGTGCTACATTGTCGGCTTTCTTAGCGTCAAAAACTAAATCTCGAATATTCTTAAATAGATACCACTGTCTCTCCAAAGATAATCACTTTTTCTTTTTCATTGGTAATTCCAAATACTGCACATTTTCTGTTTGCTTTAAAATAAGCGCTTCCAGGCTGTTGTGGACTAACAGGATAATGAACAGTTTGCGCAAAATCGAACGATACTACTTTTACTGCTTCATCACTGTCTTCACAAAGAGCTTTATAATACGCTCTTTGACCTCTAGCTTTATTAAGATGGTCTACAAATGAATTCAACTTCTGTTCTCGTACTTCATCAGGACAATTTTTCAATTGTGAAATTGTCAGTGAGTTACCTGTAAAACAAGTAGCAGTATCCTTTGTTAAAGGCATCGATAAGCAAACAATTTGCTTCCTCCACGAGGAAGCATTAAATTTCGTTAATTTATTTCTGTAATAAATAATTTTTCTTGTATTTATTTTTATTTTTATAATTTTATAGAATGCATAAAATATAATTTAATGAACATTGTGGTATTTTTTTGATAAATTAAAAATTGTTATGTTTATAATTAACTAGAATTTAAGTAAACATAAAGACAGTAAACATCCAGACACTTGATCAGAGACTTATATATTACATTTATGAAAAGAGTAAAATATAATATTTAGAGCAAAATATAATATTTCATGTATTTTAAAAAATTGTATAATTTGAGAGACTACATAGTTACCTTCACGAGGAAGCAAAAATAATTAATTAATTCATTTACATTCTAGTTATTAATTGTAATGTAAAAAGTAATTTGATTTTATACCTCGACAAACATCACAGAGATCGTCGGCTGGTTTCATGACTGTAACAAACGGTACATAAGTATTCCAAATCCTCTGAAATGTGCTAACACTTGGTTTTCGTTCATCTGGACCGAGTGCCGAAATATACATTCGGTAAATTGATGATTTCGATTCACTGGATGGTAATTTCATGACACTATAGTCTCTAAATTTTGGAAGTCTTCCTGGTAATGGAAGAGCCAAACGATCAGAAGTAGCCTTTATAAATTCTACTATTTTAGTAATTTCCTCTGGTAGCATTGCTAATGGGTTAGAACTAGCTTTATTCGTTTTTTCATGAATTCTTTCCACGACACCATTATTATTAAAGTGATGCAATAAAGCTTTATATCGCTTTATTCCACATGCGTACAGAAATAGAAACAAATTGCGACAGATAGGCAACTTATGGTAGGTGTAAGTAATATTTCCTGTTGTTCTTTCTGTGTTTTTACGCTTTCCATATTTCTTTTCTCCCAAAATGCTTTCATAAGCTTCATCTAATGCACTAGTCGGTTTACCGGCTTCAATTTTGCTCAATATAATTAGATCTTGTTGTTTTTTATCTAACTCTAAAAAATTATTCCTTGATTGCAGGATCATATCTCGTGTAACTACAAAATTACATTTTTTGGTACAACAAGCTTTGTCAAAAAATTTAGATACCACTTCTTCTTCCTGTATATCTTGAGCAGATAAATCACAAATGATTGAAGAATTTGGTAAACATTTTTCAACGGAACTGAAACTTTCTGTATCATTGACATCACTAAGATCATCTTCCCCATTGCTATCATTTTCACAAAAATATAGATCATCCACTTTTTTAAACTCGTCTTCTAAAGACATTTTACCGGTAAGCAGAAATTCGAATTATAAAAATCGCGATTTTAAAATGAAAAAATAACGATACGCGCAGTACACATAAGCTAATACTTCAGTTTTGACACTAATGACAAAATGTTAACTTTGTTCCACCACCGATGGTGTTTGTTACATAATAAATTAATAAATGCTTCCTTTAAAGCTACTGCATTAAGAAAAATGCTTGGAATAAAATAACTTCAAGAACAAAATAACTATGAAATTGGTAAGAACAATTAAACACACCATTAATACAAATAAATACTAATTTACATAGAGATCCAGAAACTCTTCTGTTTCCTAATCATCGACCCCAAAATACCCCTAAAGTATAAATTAATATGTGAATCCAAACATTTTTTAAACTACGTCCACTATATTAAATCCGACATTTTGAATTTCGGAAAACGAACATCAGATTCTTAATCAGTGATCTCGTTTTCGGTGTCAACGAAATTGTTGAGTTTTACACAAATTCGAACAAATTTTAAATTTTCTCCTCCATATTGGATCCGCCATTTGAATTTTTAAAAACTAACATCATATTTGTAATCAGCGACTCCAGAAACCCCCGAGTAACGAATTTCAAGCGAATCAGATCAATTTTTAAAAAAGTCATCCGCCATATTGCATCCGCCATTTTGAATTTTTAAAAACTAACATCATATTCGTAATCAGCGACCCCAAAAACCCCCAAGTAACGAATTTCAAGCGAATCAGATCAATTTTTAAAAAAGTCATCCGCCATATTGGATCCGTCATTTTGAATTTTTAAAAACTAACATCATATTTGTAATCAGCGACCCAAAAAACCCCCGAGTAACGAATTTCAAGCGAATCAGATCAATTTTTTAAAAAGTCATCCGCCATATTGGATCCGCCATTTTGAATTTTTAAAAACTAACATCATATTCGTAATCAGCGACCCCAAAAACCCCCGAGTGACGATTTTCAAGCAAATCCGATCAATTTTTAAAAAAGTCATCCGCCATATTGGATCCGCCATTTTGAATTTTCAAAAACTAACATCGGATTCGTAATCAGCGACCCCGAAAACCCCTGAGTAACGAGTTTCAATTCATTAAAACGTTCACAAACATCAAAATCAACTTGCTAAACTTTAAAGTCGTTTTTCTCGAAATCTTTTTTTCGGATCGTAGGTCCCTTTTAACTGACCGTGTCACATATGGTAAAAATTATTAATATAATTATTTATTTATTATTTATAATCTAATTATTTATTAAAATAATAATAAAAAAAATTTATTTAAGAAAAATTTTTGTTAAATAAATAAATAAAAATATATATACAGCTTTAAAAAATAAAATTTTTTTATAATTAATAATACGTAATAATTCTAAAAATAATTAATTAATAATAATTTATTATTATATTATTAAAATATATCTATTAGTTAATAATAAATTAATAAAATGTTTGATATTATTGTTGATGAATAATGTTTTTACAAATCTTTGCAAATATTTTAATTGTTAATAAATCAAACGATGTTTAATGTTTAATTACATTATAACAAATTTTGATTGTTTTTTTAACTCCTTCGCAGTACTGATTTAGTGTTAAGCCAGTTTTCTGCCAGTACTGATTTTAGAACTTTTCTAACTCCGACATAGTACTGATTCGGTTTTGGAGTCAGTATACTCCCAGTACTGATCGGGTTCCGAAAGTCAGTACCGACGGTCAGTACTGAGTCAGTACCATGTCGGTGTTTAACTCCGTCCTAACTCCGGACATTTCTACTGGGGTAGGGTAGAGTGGGGTAAAAAAGCCACTTATCTTTTACACTGAAACCTACTGAAATATTTGAAATGCAATTCGACACGAAGTGTCGCGTTTATTTGTATTTTGGTAGGTATAACTTATGTTGGTGACGTAATTCGATAATTGACATGATTGGCTGGTTTTGTTTGAACTCAACCAATGGTATATATATATACGGAGTGCCTATTCCTACGTTAACGTAATCGTTCTTTCAAAACTAAACCTACGCGAAATGGAAAATAATTTTGAAAAACGACGCCCGTCGCGCTAGTGTCTCCATCAAGGTCATCTAGCAGACGGACTATGCGAAACAAGCGAACCTGCAAACGAAACCAAACAAAAATAACCAACGTGCTTCAAGGAGAAAGTGCCGGCTTTTACGCTATGTCAGAATGAAATGAGTTAATTATAATTATTAAATAGTTATTAAATTTTGAGTGAAGTGCAATACGAGGTGCAATATTCTTCGTAAAATTTTGTTCACATTGGTAAGTATTGACGCAAAGCTTTTATATTTTTTATCAATGTATCAATCTGACCTGTGCAAACACGTTTTGTAAAAAGCGTTTGTAAAACACCAAGTTATTGAAGTCCACAACGTTGATCAACGAAAGAGACATTAAAAAAAACATAGATAACACAGCAATATTACTACAAAAATATTTAGAAAAAAAATTGATGTTTATGTTTAGATGATAATTGTTGTACGCAATTAAATATTAAATTATAATTGAATGAATTAAATACATTTTTTTCGTTGATCAACGTTGTAGAATTCAACTTAATTTGTAAAACTAATATTTTATTAGAAGTATATTTTGCGAAAAGCCTGTGTTTAATCTGCCACAAGATATGTCAAGATATTTTTTTCAATGTTTATGTTTCAAATTTACTAAATTAATTTTCAATATAATTCTCAGGGCACAATTGTTTTGATATTTTAACCTTTACGAATCAAGTCTGTGTTTCTTTTTTGATATTAAATTATTATTATTATTTTGAATTAAATTCTTAACATATAACACGGAAAAAAATATGTGTGATGAAATATAAGTTTATTATATTCAGATTATCAGTAAATTCAGGGAAATTTCAGTAATTTTTTTTTACTTATTTTCAAAATTTGCGACTTTCTCAATTGTTTTTTCAAATATTGCAACAAAATATCATATTTATTAGTATTTTAATGTAATTCATTTTAGTTTTTATAGTGTGACAAATAACTGTTAACTGTTCAGTAATTATATTTTCAGAGAAATGGCTTCAACATTTGAAAAAGGCACCGTTTTTCAAAATTATGAAGAGTTTGAACAAGCTCTCCAAATTTTTGAAGAAAAAGAGAGACAAAAATTTTCAAAAAGGAGTAGCAGAACTGTTGAGGCAGCCCGAAAATTTTTAAAAAAGCCACTCAATCCTCAAATTAAATATTACGAGCTGCATTTGGCGTGCATAGCAGGCGGTGTTCCTTTTGCATCGACGAGCAAGGGATTAAGAGACAAAGGGTAACTTAATTCTTTGTTTTATTTAACGTACCTTAAATTTAAACTTGAGTTAATATTAGATTGATTAGAAATTAAAGTATATATTATTCAGTAGTCACGTGCCCTCATAGGCACGTTATTGCTGGATAATATGATTTCAAGTTTGTTCATGACACGTTCATGATTTTCATTTTGCAGAACTATGAAAGTGGATTGCCCGGCACATATTAAACTACGTGCATCGGAAGATGGTAATAAACTTGTTATTACCAGTCTAAATATGGATCACAGCAAGCATGAAAATTCACAGGTACATGCATTTCTTTTCTATTTAATTACAATTTTTTTAAAAATAAATGAATAGATTTTAAAAACAAATAGATAGGCTTGAAAAATAAATAAATTGATTTAAAAAATAAATAGATAAATATTGAAAATAAATAAATAGATTTTAAAAATAAATAAATAAAATGATTTAAAAAATAAATAAATTGATGTAAAAAAACAAATAAATAGATGTAAAAAAACAAATAAACAGATGTAAAAAAAACAAATAAATAGATTTTCAAAAAAATGAAATAATTTTCAAAATATATAAAAAGATTTTAAAAATAAATAAATTGATGTAAAAATGAATAAATTGATTTAAAAAATGAAGAAATAGATTTTGAAAATGAATAAATAAAAATTTGAAAGTAAATTAATAAAATAAAAAAAAACATTAATTAATTTAATTTTTTAACAACAAAAATTATTTTCAGACTGTTTATGAACATCAGGCTCCAGTGAGAAGACTCAAAGGCGAAAAGCGAGAAGAGGTTAAAAATTTGATAAAACTCGGATGTGATAAAAAATTAATCCAAGAAAAAATTTTCAAAGAAACAGGAAAACGGCCAACATACAAAGACTTGGGGAATATTCAAAGTGAAATAAGAGCAGAATTAAAAGGAACCTCGGATCCTCAAGTTATTAAAAAAATTCTGGAAGAAGAATACGGTAATTTACAATTACTATACTAGAATTTGAAGAAGAGGGTGAGACTGACAATAAAGCTAAGGCTTCTACGACTGTGATTGTAAATGAAATTGAAAATTGTTGTGCCAAATTGTCCATTAATTCTGATCCCTCATCGGACAACCTTATAGCCAATTATGTTGTTAAAAATGGAATTTTGGTACCCGAAGGTGATGGAAATGATGCTCTGGAAAACATAAAATGGCCCATTGCTGTCAAAAGACGCGGACGTCCAAAAAACAGTGAGACTACAGTGGCCATAGGATTGAGAAAAAATCGGCAAGTGAAAATTCCAAAATCTTTTAGGCTTCTCAAAGAAGAAGAGAAAATTGGTATTATTTTAAATTGGGTGCTTTCAAATAAAGCTCATTTAAATGTGATTTTGAAGGGAGATTATTTAGTAAAAGAAGAGGATCTCGAAATGCGACCAGAATCTATCAAACACGGAATACTCGATGAACAAGTGAATTTGGACATTTTAAAGCCATATATGACTGAAAGTGCACTTCAAACTTTAAAAAAAACTGTTGAAGTTAAATTGAAAATTGAAACTTGGCTTTGCGAAGTATGTCAAGTATCCACTGAAACAAATATAAGTATAAAAAATATAAGTATTGTTTGCGAAAGTTGTCTTATGTGGTACCACATTAGTTGCGTCGGTCTGAAATCTATACCAAAGAAAAAGTCTTGGTTCTGTTTTAATTGTTCTTCTTATTAAATATTTTTCAATTTGTGTTAAATTTTCAGTACAAATTAAAATTTAAAAACTCTGTTAAAAGACAGAAATACCAAGTAATGTTTTAAAAACGTTTTTAATATGTCATTTGTTAATTAATATTTTATTTTTATTTCAACAATATTTTCGTTATATAATAACAATTATATTAAAAAGAAAATAAAACAAATTTCATGGTAAAAGCAATTATTATTATTATGTTTTGTATTTTATTGCTCTATTTTCTTTTCATTGATAAAAATTAATTTAATTTTGAAATATAAATAACAAGCTCTTTAAAAACAACCAAATTTTTGAATTGTATTACATCTAATAACTATTAAAAATTAGTTAACATATTAACATATTTTTTTTAATTTTTTGAAACTGATTTTTGTTTAAAAAATTATTTTAGAATTTTTTTTCGTTCTCAAATTTTTGATTTTGGAATTTTGATCCCATACCTTGATTTTCCTTTATTTTGAAATTATTTCTTTGAATGTTTTTTTTCATTTTTGAATTTTGAATTTCTCGCTGAATTAAAAATTTTTAATTACTGGGTCATTCCAGCGAAAATCGTCTAGAGCTGGTTGCTCGATAATTTTAAAAAATGCTGTCATTAATATATAATATTTTTCAATACAATTAGATTATCCTTTAGTGGTTTATAGCACCAAATATATTTTACATTCTTTTAAATAATTATTTTAAATTTCTAACTGGTTATGAAGTCTAACATAACCCATTTTTCGAAAACTCAGTGTAAATAACTAAAAACAGATTAAAAATACTGCTTTTTATTTTAAATATATATATTTTTGTTAAATACATCTAAATAAACGAAAATTATTTAAAAATAACTCACCAGAACATTTAAATCAGTATTTTTTTGTACTTGCACAGTATAATAAACATCATTTTCTTTTTCTTATATCTTTTTTGGAGAAAAAGGAATCTTCACGAAACCTTTTAAACTGGATTTGTTTTAAAATATTATAAATTTATTTTAATTGAAATTTTTTTTGGACCTGTACTCATTAATTATTTAATAAATATGAGAAATTATATAAATTTAACCTGATTTTCATTGAATTTTAGTTTTAATGACCAGACTGAAGTTCATCACCTTATCGTTTTTTTAAAGAAAACAAACTTCAGTCTAGTCATGAAAATAAAAATTTAATCAAAATCAGGTTAAATTTATAAAATTTTTCATATTTATTAAATAATTAATGAGTACAGGTCCCAAAAAATTCCATTTTAAATAAATTTATAATTTTAAAACAAATCCAGTTTAAAAGGTTTCGTGAAGATTCCTTTTTCTCCACAGAAGATATAAGAAAAAGAAAATGATGTTTATTATACTGTGCAAGTACAAAAAAATACTGATTTAAATGTTCTGGTGAGTTATTTTTAAATAATTTTCGTTTATTTAGATGTATTTAACAAAAATATATATATTTAAAATAAAAAGCAGTATTTTTAATCTGTTTTTAGTTATTTACACTGAGTTTTCGAAAAATGGGTTATGTTAGACTTCATAACCAGTTAGAAATTTAAAATAATTATTTAAAAGAATGTAAAATATATTTGGTGCTATAAACCACTAAAGGATAATCTAATTGTATTGAAGAATATTATATATTAATTACAGCATTTTTTAAAATTATCGAGCAACCAGCTCTAGACGATTTTCGCTGGAATGACCCTACTCAGAAGTTATTTTTTAGATGTTTTTTTATTGTTGATTTTTGAATTTAGCGTCAATTTTTAAATTTTTCGTTATCTAAACATTATTGTTTAAATTTTCTTTTTTTTTCATTTTTGAATTTCGCGCGCATTTTCGTGATGTGGTGAAGTGTATATGAAGATAACATTTCGCGTAGGTTTAGTTTTGGAAAGTCACTTTACGTTAACGTAGGTATAGGGCCAGCGATATATATATACCATTGGTTGAGTTCAAACAAAACCAGCCAATCATGTCAATTATCGAATTACGTATTAGTATAATATATATATACTAGGGGGGCTTCGCCCCCCTGCGCGCTTCGCGCGCCAACCCCCTATCTCTATTTTTATATTTATTTTAATTTTTATAAATTTAAAGTAATTTTTTCTTAATATCAATGCATCTTAATAAATTGCATACAATCAAAATACTCATAGATTTTGACGTAATGTAACAATCGTTATGGACCTTTTTTATCTATATGTCAAAAATTAGATTAAACTTTGACCAGGGATGGCAACCGAAACCGATAACCGAAACCGTTAACCGAAAAAACAGAAATTTTTAAAAAACCGAAAACTAGAAACCGAAACCGAAAAAAAATTATTTGAAACAGAAAACCGTAAACCGAAACCCGTATTATAAAAATTTAAAACCCTTTATTTCAAAACCTAAATTTCGTTTTTTCGGTTTTTAATATAAAAGTAAAACTGAATATTACACCAATATTAAAATCTTTTGGTACAAAAAATATTGAAGTATGGTATGTCTAATATTGCAAATAATAAGTAGAGGAACCAAATTTGCAGATTACAAATAATTTATAAAAAAAAATTTTTTGAAAAAAATTAGAAACAAATTTTTTTAAATTAATTATTTGTGATCAGCCTGTAAAAATACACTGTACCAATTTTTAGTTAATTAGGTTAAATAATGTAGAAGTTAAGGAGAAAAACGTTCTTTCAAAAAAATTTTAGTTTTTCCTTGACAACGATGTGGCCATCTCATAAAATATAAAACAAATTTATAAATAAATTATGAGTAATTAATACTCATATTTCATTCTAAGTAATTAAAATGCACACAAATATTTTCATTCATATATTTTCCGGGGAAAACAACCGAAAAACCGAAACCTTTAACCCAAAAAACCTTAATTTTTAAGAAACCGAAACAAAAAACCGTAACCGTAATTATTCACTTTAAAAACCGAAACCCTTATACAGAAACCCTAATTCTTTGAAAAAAAACCGTAACCGAAATACCGAAACCGAATGTTGTAGTTAAATAAAAGTCAAATTACACATAGATTATGACGTAACTAAATGAGGAAGTAAAAATAATACGTCAAAATTAGGTCAAAATGATAGGTGTAAGAGCAAACACAATTTTAAAATTACCTTACATTGTTAGGTCAGATGGCAAACTTCACCTCATCATTAAGTCTGCGCGCGAAATTGTTTGACAAATTTTGACGTCTATGTCAAAGCTGCCCTCAAACTTGACCTAAATTTTGAGGGTAGCGGGAATTCTTTGTCAAATTTTGATGTGTAGGTCAAAACTGCCCTCAAAATTGACCTAAATTTTGAGGGTACCGGAAATTGTTTGTCAAACTTTCACGTCTAGATCAAAACTGCCCTCAAAATTGACCTAAATTTTGAGGGTAGCGGGAATTCTTTGTCAAATTTTGACGTCTGGGTCAAAACTGCCCTCAAAATTGACCTAAATTTTGAGGGTAGCGGGAATTATTTGTCAAATTTTGACGCCTAGGTCAAAACTGCCTTCAAAATTGACCTATATTGACGTAATGTGAGGCCGTTATTTATCTTCTTTTTGACCTACAGGTCAAAAAATAGGTCAAATTAGACATAAATTTTGACGTAATGTGAGGCCGTTATTTATCCTCTTTTTCACCTATAGGTCAAAAAATAAGTCAATTTTGACGGCCCCTTTGGGATAGGGCGCCCTTACAGTATCTTGAAACAGCGGCGGCGGCGGCGATATCTTTTTATAAGATAGACAGACATATATGTATATATATATGTATATATATAAGTTTAATTAAGTAAGACACAACTTTTGATCCTAGTTTAGATGTCGTATCGATAATATTATAGTTGTTATTAGAATTTGATATTGGATTTTGAAGCTTAAAAACTGAACTTTCAGTACCGATTGAAAATTTGAAAAAAGAAATTTAAATTTCGATTTCATAGTGTTAAAAGTAAAACGTGGTTTTTTCACCCCACTCTACCCTAGATATTTCTGAAGAGTAAATTGTAAAAAAAATCCCACTTTGAGGCGTTGCGTAGAACTCGAGCAGCTTGCACGTGATTCTTGAAAATTTGTTAAAACTCATTAAATTCATGAGGCCCATTTCGAAACTTTTTGGAAAATCTCTATATTATAAGGTATAAATAAATTTTTAAAAAATGAAAAAATCGGGCCCAAAGTTAAAAAAAAAATTTTTCTAACATTTCTTAAAAGTCGAAAAGGAAAATAAAATTCTCATTTTTTTACAACTTTTTTCTAAAGTCAATATTTTCAGACTTATATGGTACTCAAAATATGTAGCAAAATAGGTGCCAAAAAAGAACACAAATCCAAAATTTCGAAAAATTTTAATTCGAAAATTTGGGCAATTAAATAAAAATATACGTATTTCATATTTTTTTATAAAGAACGAGAAAAAAATGTAATATTTAATTGACTTTAAATAATCACTATTAATTACATATGGAATAGTCCATGTTTATATTTAAAATTTAATAAGTAACAAATAAAACAAGATATCAATCAATAATAATAATAATAATACTTTTTTCAGATAAAGGGCTTAGGGGGTTAAGTGTGCAAAAACTGCCCCCGCATCTATTTTTCTCAAATTTGGCCCATATATTACTATCCATATGACTATAACTTTCTGCAATTTTGAACTCAAAATTCGCTTTTTTGGGGGAGTTATGGAGGGAATAAGCAGAATAAAAAAACATATTTTTCTCGAAAACTACTGAACCGATTTTAATGAAATTTTAAGAGGTTGTAAATATAGATAAAACAATTTTAGAAAAAAAAAATCAACATTTTTTTTCAAAAAAATTTTTGAAATTTAAAAATTTTTTTTTTAGGATTATTTTTTGAAGTGACCACTTTCTCTTTTGTTGTAAAAAGTACCTTATAATGTCCCCTTTACACTGATCTCTATATACCTCTGGATTGGAAATGCTATGAGCAGAACTTTTACCACGGCGGCCATCTTTCATTGTAGTAAAAGTACAAAATTATGGCGCGAAAACCTTGTATTTTAAGTAATAATAATAATAATGATAATAATAATAATTA